GGAAGAAGAGGGCTATGGTGAAGGATACACTGGGAAAGAAGAGCGGGAGGCGGAACGAAACCAAACCCCCTGTGGGGGCAGCTGCCACCAAAACTGCACCGCCCGTCAGATCCTCAATGGCCAATCGGAAGCTGCGCTGGGCAGGAGCCCCGCCCTCTTTCTGAAAACACTTGGCGGCACCGTTGGCGCTCGCATCGGGGAACCCCGACTGAGTGCATGCTCTAGTGCCAGGGGTGGCCAAACTGCGGCTCCGGAGCCGCCTGCGGGGCCTTCACGCCTCCTTTGCGGCTCCCGGCAGGGCGGCCGGGGAAGCTAAATATCATTAGCAAACAGATATCGTTGGACAAATAAACATCATTATCAGTATCTGCTTTTACCGCTTTTGTTATTATCTTTGGCCGTCTCGTTTAATGTTAATTAAAAAAAGCAAATTTGCACACTTCCCAGTAAAAACGTGTAATATCTGTTCAGGTCTTGCGGCTCTCAGAAAACTGACGTGTATTCTATGTGGCTCTTACGTCAAGCGGGTTTGGCTCCCCCCCGCTGTAGCATTCCGCCCCGCCCCCCCGCTGAAGGGTTCTTCGGTGCAAATTGGGGTGCTTTGTGGGACGCACCAGCCAGCTTCAGAGAGGCACGCGAGCTCAGAAACGGGCCATGCAAAACTCCGACCCCCCCTCCCGACCCCGACGGTCAAGTTGGGGCACTTACCACGATCTCCTGGGGTGCGGAGCTGACTGGGGGGGAAGAGGTGGACGGGCGGAGCGAGGAGAGAAGGGGGAAGGGGAGAGAGAGAAAGAGACAGACATGATTCCCAGGATCATCAGACAGCCAGGAAATCCACAACAGCAGCCATGAACCATCTGGGGCAGGCGAAGGAGAGAAACTGGGAGGTCCGGTCTTCCGGGTACAACTGGGCTGTACCACCCGAAAGACCCATGTTTGCATTTCACTGGCCAGGGAAAGACGGGGTTTGGCCCCGCATTCAGGGGTCATTTCCTGCGGGAGCGCACAGGAGCGGAGCTCCGGCAGTAAAGAGCCCAGGGGGCGGGCACATGCAGCAAGCCCCGCCCCCTGCTCCCAGCAGCCCTCAGTCAGAGCAAGAAGCAGCCAGGTACGTTGCAGAACTCCCCTGGTCCAAGACAGTCCAGCGGCACCTTTAAGACCAAGTTTTATTCAGGTACAAGCTCTCCCTCCTCTGCGAGGACAGATCTGCACGTTCCCCCCCCCCCAATAGCTAGCAATCCAAAACAATCCAGTGGAGCCTGAGCGGTGGGTGTAGTCTTCCGACACACTTGATGTCAGGGGGTGTGGCATATGCTTCTTCTTCTTAGCCATAGTTCTGGCACAGCTGTTCTTGAAAAAGGGCAGTTTCTGTCAAGAGCTCTCTCAGCCCCACCTACCTCACAGGGTGTCTGTGGTGGGGAGGGGAAGGGAAAGGAGTTTGTAAGTCGCTCTGAGACCCCTTTGGGTAGTGAAGGGCGGGGTATAAATCCAATCTCTTCTTCTTCTTTTACATCACAGGGTGTCTGTTGTGGGGAGGGGAAGGGAGAGGAGTTTGTAAGCCGCTCTGAGACTCCCTTGGGTAGTGAAGGGCAGGGTGTAAATCCAATCTCTTCTGTTCTTCTTCTCCTCATAAAGGTACCAGTGGAATCAAACTTTGTCCTGTGGCTTCAAACCAATATGGCGGCCCGCCTGCATCTACTGTACAAAATGGTTCACAAACTTACTCGGGTAAATGACCGGGGCCGTGGTCGACATTGCTCTGTATAGCTTATTGTAAGTAGGGTCCTATTTATATATTTTCTGTACCGCTTAATGAGTCTTCTGAATAATGCTCTGCTTCAGTTCTTCCTGGTGATTCCAGATGCATTGTTTGACGTGTGGTAATATTTATGTTTTGTTCAAACTTCGTCTCTGATTCCCACCGCCCTATACATCTCTTTTCTGATGTCTCGTCGCTTCTGTTGCATTCACTTACACCACGTTCCTTTAAGTCTCAGTGAAAAAGGTGGACTATGAGTAATAAATTATAAAATGTTCTAAAAAAACCCCAATAGTCACCCGCAGGGCTCTTTCTGTAGCAGGAACGCCTTTGCATCTTAGGCGACACACCCCTAACATAACCAATCCTCCAAGAGCTTACAGAAGCCCCTGTGAGAAGAGCTCCGTAAGCTCTTGGAGGATTGGCTATGTTAAGGGTGTGTCGCCTAAGATGCAAAGGAGTTCCTGCTACAAAAGACCGCTGATTATTATTATTTAGATTTATTAATCACCCCATCCCAGCTTATGCTGGGATCTGGGCAATGTACAAGGCATAATGCCATAAAATACACAAAACACTAAAATTCAATGTATAACATAGTAAAAACTACAGTACAAATAAAACGATCCAAGTTGGCGATTTTCCTGTGATGTTATTTGCCCCACTTCCGGACAGCCAGCCCCTTTTCCGGGTGGGGCAAAGGGAATTCAGAGCAAAAGGGGTGGCCCCCCGCCCCGCAGGGCTCTTTTTGTAGCAGGAACTCCTTTGCATATTAGGCGACACGCCCCTAACGTAGCCAATTCTCCGAGAGCTTACAGAAGCCCCCGTGAGAAGAGCTCTGTAAGCTCTTGGAAGACTGGCTCCATTAGGGGTGTGTCGCCTAATATGCAAGGTAGTTCCTGCTACAAAAAGAGCCCTGGCAAAGCGTATGGCCAACTTGCGGTCAGATCTCCGGAGCAGAAGCTGGAACTGCCGGTGGTCAGAGAGGGGATCAGTTTGAATGCTCTCTACCAACGCTCCCTCTAAGAAGAAGAAGAGATTGGATTTATACCCTTTCACTACCCAAAGGAGTCTCAGAGCGGCTTACAGACTCCTTTCCCTTCCCCTCCCCACAACAGACACCCTGTGAGGTAAAAGAAGAAGAAGAGATTGGATTTATACCCCACCCTTCACTACCCAAAGGAGTCTCAGAGCGGCTTAGAAACTCCTTTCCCGTCCCCTCCCCACAACAGACACCCTGTGAGGTAGGTGGGGCTGAGAGAGCTCTGAGAGAAACGGCTCTTTTTCAAGAACAGCTCTTATCAGAACTACGGCTTGCCCAAGGTCATCCAGCAGGTGCAAGTGGAGGAGTGGGGAATCAAACCCGGTTCTCCCAGATTAGAGTCCTCGCACTTAACCACGACACCAAACTGGCTCTCACAAGCTGTGGAGTCTTGTGAGCAAACATTCTACTTTGTGAGCTACTGGCATTCAAGTTGCGAGCGAGCAATTTGGCTGCTGCATGAATCAGTTTGCTCTGGAGCCATCCCTCCCTGAGCTAAGACAAAAAGGTGTGAGCCGGAGGCTAAAAAACTGTGAGCTAGCTCACACTAACTCAGCTTAGGGGGAACACTGCTCTCCACCCTCCTGCCTCCATTCTCTCACAGAGGTGGCAGTGACTAGAACCTCATACGACCCTAAGTTTCCAGTTCCGAAACAAAAGCTGCTAGGCCTCCAAGGCAGATTGGGTAGAGCTCCTCCCTGAGGGGGACCGCGGGAGGGGGGTTTCTGCTTTTCTGGTCCTTTTGGGGCGCCGTTCACCACACTGCCTGGAAAAGCCTCCCCGATTCAGCAGTTGAAGGGAAAGGACCCTGGAAAGGAACTTTGCTTCTGGGATTTCTGCAGGAAGTAGGACCCAACTTGGCTTTAATGACTTTCTGCCTTGGGCACCGACTAAAATTGATCTTCAGCTCTGCTACAACAGAGACTATCAAAAGTCTCCCCCAACCTGACCAGCCCAGGGGAGCCCGATCTTGTCAGATCTTGGAAGCTAAGCGGGGTCAGCCCGGGTTAGTACTTGTCCAGGTTGCTACGCAGAGGCAGGCAATGGCAGACCACCTCTGCTCATCTCCTGCCCTGACATGGATGGCCCATGGTAGCCCAATCCCATCAGATCTTGGAAACTAAGCAGGGTCAGCTCTGGTTGGTACTTGGATGGGAGACCACCATGTCCAGGTTGCTACGCAGAGGCAGGCAATGGCGGACCACCTCTGCTCATCTCCTGCCTGGCCATGGATAGCCCAGGCTAGCCTGATCTTGTCGGATCTTGGAAACTAAGCAGGGTTGGCCCTGGTTGGTACTTGGAAGGGGGACCACTAAGGAAGCCCAGGGTTGCTACGCAGAGGCAGGCAATGGCAACCCACCCCTGAACATCTGTTGCCTTGAAAACCCTACAGTGTCACCGTAAGTTGGCTTCGACTTGAACTCTCAAGACTTTTAAAGCGCCTGTGCGTCTTGTCTGCTGTTAGACATTTGACCAACAACCGGTTTTTGTATTTTCAACAGGAGGCGTCAGTTCCCTGTTCCTTCTTCCTAACACAGCATGGGCCTCATCCAATAGCCGCCTGCCACACCGGTCAGCCACGGCCATTCTACAGGGTGCAAAGAGGCCGTGACCTCTGGGCCCAAAAACGTGTGTCCCCTTCCTCTCCCCGCACAACATTCAACCTGACGCAGAGTTCAGGAGAACTTGAAAGCCTGTGCTGTTTCGTGCCCTTTCCAAAAAGGCACTGTGTGACTTCTATATCTGGATTTCCCCCTTTAGTGTGTGCTGGGACCTTTTTCTGAGGTCATACTCCGCCTGAGGGATCTGGGGCCACATGCCTAGCTTTCTCCGCCTGAGGGATCTGGGGCCACATGCGGCTTCCTAGCTGGTAAGGTAGGAACAACGGAAGAAATGTCAGTCTTCAAGCAGCGGCTGGACGAACACTTCTCAGGGATGCTTTAGGCCGATCCTGTGTTGGGCAGGGGGCTGGACTAGATGACCAGCGTGTCCCCTTCCAACTCTGTGATTCGACGAACCTAGCAGGGCACCCCATCAGCTTTGGACAGCCTCAACCTCAATTTTCTGGCACCTCTCACCAGCTGACTCGCCCCTCCCCCCAATCTCCTTTTTTATGATTTGTCTGGGATTCTGGTCCTTTTCTTTTGCCCACCCTTCGTCCCCTTGTAACTTCTAAAAGAACTTTTCATCTGTGTCTTCTGAGAATTCATTGGGTACCTAGTACTGAACACACACGAAACTGCCATCATGGTCAGTATTGTCTACTCAGACTGGCATCAGCTCTCCAGGGTCTCAGGTGGAGGTCTTCCTTATCACCTACTGCCTGGTCCATTTTAACTGGAGATGTCGGGGATTGAACCTGGGACCTTCTGCATGCCAAGCAGAGGCTCTGCCCCTGAGCCAGGGTCTCAGGTCAAGGTCTTTCCCATCACCTCCTGCCTGGTCCATTTTAACTGGTGATGCTGGGGATTGAACCTGGGACCTCCTGCCTGATCCTTTTAACTGGAGATGATGGGGAATTGCTCCTGGGACCTTCTGCAGGCCAAGCAGAGGCTCCGCCACTGAGCCAGGGTCTCAGGTCAAGGTCTTCCTCATCCCCTCCTGCCTGGTCCTTTGAACTGGAGATGCCGGGGATTGAACCTGAGACTTTCTGCATGCCAAGCAGAGGCTCTGCCCCTGAGCCAGGGTCTCAGGTCAAGGTCTTCCTCATCCCCTCCTGCCTGGTCCTTTGAACTGGAGATGCCGGGGATTGAACCTGAGACTTTCTGCATGCCAAGCAGAGGCTCTGCCCCTGAGCCAGGGTCTCAGGTCAAGGTCTTCCTCATCCCCTCCTGCCTGGTCCTTTGAACTGGAGATGCCGGGGATTGAACCTGAGACTTTCTGCATGCCAAGCAGAGGCTCTGCCCCTGAGCCAGGGTCTCAGGTCAAGGTCTTCCTCATCCCCTCCTGCCTGGTCCTTTGAACTGGAGATGCCGGGGATTGAACCTGAGACTTTCTGCATGCCAAGCAGAGGCTCTGCCCCTGAGCCAGGGTCTCAGGTCAAGGTCTTCCTCATCCCCTCCTGCCTGGTCCTTTGAACTGGAGATGCCGGGGATTGAACCTGAGACTTTCTGCATGCCAAGCAGAGGCTCTGCCCCTGAGCCAGGGTCTCAGGTCAAGGTCTTCCTCATCCCCTCCTGCCTGGTCCTTTGAACTGGAGATGCCGGGGATTGAACCTGAGACTTTCTGCATGCCAAGCAGAGGCTCTGCCCCTGAGCCAGGGTCTCAGGTCAAGGTCTTCCTCATCCCCTCCTGCCTGGTCCTTTGAACTGGAGATGCCGGGGATTGAACCTGAGACTTTCTGCATGCCAAGCAGAGGCTCTGCCCCTGAGCCAGGGTCTCAGGTCAAGGTCTTCCTCATCCCCTCCTGCCTGGTCCTTTGAACTGGAGATGCCGGGGATTGAACCTGAGACTTTCTGCATGCCAAGCAGAGGCTCTGCCCCTGAGCCAGGGTCTCAGGTCAAGGTCTTCCTCATCCCCTCCTGCCTGGTCCTTTGAACTGGAGATGCCGGGGATTGAACCTGAGACTTTCTGCATGCCAAGCAGAGGCTCTGCCACTGAGCCAGGGTCTCAGGCAGAGGTCTTTCTCATCACCTCCAGCCTGGTCCTTTAAACTGGAGATGCCAGGGATTGAACCTGGGACCTCCTGCAGGCCAAGCAGAGGCTCTGCCACTGAGGCACAGCCCCTCACGCTACTGCACTGCAAGTTCATATTAGTTACGGTTACACAAGCTGTAGCTTGCGGTTCCCTGTGCTAGCTCTTCTGCAGTCCAGCTGACCGAGAACCCGGCTTGCTGGTCCTCTCCCTGCTTTCTCCACCCAGCATGGACAGGGACGCCCCTACCAGGATTCAAGAGCGCAACGAGGGGTGGAATCATTTACCTGCAGAGCCGGAAGGGGGAGGCCCCCCGGCCTGTTGCCAGAGAGTCGCCTCAGCCGCCAGGCGCCGCACGTAACCCTCGTCCACACACAACAGGATGTTCTCCGGCTTGATGTCGGTGTGGATGATTTTGCACTTGGTGTGGAGGTAGTCGAGGCCCTGCAGCACCTGGGGAGGGAGACGCGGGCTCAAAAACAAGGAAAACCACACCGCGCTCTCTGTCTGCCGCATGAACACCAAGCAGCGGTATCAGGTACCTCACAAGAACGGAAGAAGAAGAAGAGATTGGATTTATACCTCGCCCTTCACTACCCAAAGGAGTCTCAGAGTGGCTGAGAAACTCCTTTCCCTTCCCCTCCCCACAACAGACACCCTGTGAGGTAAAAGAAGAAGAGGAGGAGATTGGATTTATACCCCGCCCTTCACTCCCCAAAGGAGTCTCAGAGCGGCTGACAAACTCCTTTCCCTTCCCCTCCCCACAACAGACACCCTGTGAGGTAAAAGAAGAAGAGGAGGAGATTGGATTTATACCCTGCCCTTCACTACCCAAAGGAATCTCAGAGCAGCTGACAAACTCCTTTCCCTCCCCCTCCCCACAACAGGCACCCTGTGAGGTAAAAGAAGAAGAAGAGGAGATTGGATTTATAGCCTGCCCTTCACTACCCAAAGGAGTCTCAGAGCAGCTCACAAACTCCTTTCCCTTCCCCTCCTCACAACAGACAGCCTGTGAGGTAGGTGGGGGCTGAGAGAGCTCCCACTACGTGTTTTTTTCCCAAGGACGGCTGTGCCAGAGCTTGTGACTGACCCAAGGTCACATCAGCAGGTGCCAGTGGAGGAGTGGGGAATCAAACCCGGTTCTCCCAGATTACAGTCCGCGCACTTAACCACGACACCAAACAGGGATAGCCCTGCTCAATCAAACAACATCCTGTCTCACAGTAAGGCCAAGCAGTTGCCCCTGAGGAACAACGGACAGGGCCCAGGGGCCAAGGGAAGAAGAGAAAGAAGAAGAGATTGGATTCATACCCCGCCCTCCACTACCCAAAGGAGTCTCAGAGAAGCTTACAATCTCCTTCCCCTTCCCCCTCCTCACAACAGACACCCTGTGAGGTCAGCGGGGCTGAGAGAGCTCTGACAGAAACTGCTCTTTTCAAGAAAAGCTCTGACAGAACTATGGCTTGCCCAAGGCCATCCAGCAGCTGCAAGTGGAGGAGTGGGGAAGAAGAGGAAGAAGAAGGAGGAAGAAGAAGAAGAGAAGGAGGAGGAGAAGGAGGAGGAGGAGGAGGAGATTGGATTTATACCCTGCACTATAAGTGACCTGGCAGGAAAAGGGAATTTTTGAGGGGGTGGGCCCTGCCGCAAGAGAAGAGAAGAGATTGGATTTATACCCCGCCCTTCACTACCTGAAGGAATCTCAGAGCGGCTTACAAACTCCTTCCCCTTCCCCACAACAGACACCCTGTGAGGTAGGTGGGGCTGAGAGAGCTCTTTCGATAACTGTTCCTGAGAGCACAGCTCTGAGAGAACTTCTGACTGACCCAAGGTCACACCAGCAGCTTCATGTGGAGGAGTGGGGAATCAGACCGGGTTCTCCCAGATTAGAGCCCGCGCTCCTAACCATGACACCAAACTGGCTCCCAGAGCCAGAGGTCTACCCTTGTCGGCTGCGACCCCCTCAGGGACAGAAGAGAACAGGAGTGTGAATCAGTGGGTCCAGCAATTGGCAGGAAGGATGAAGCGTTTGGTGTCGTGGTTAAGTGCGCGGACTCTAATCTGGGAGAACCGGGTTTGATTCCCCACTCAACCACTTGCACCTGATGGATGACCTTGGGCAAGCCGTAGTTCTGATAAGAGCTGTCCTTGAAAAAGAGCAGTTTCTGTCAAGAGCTCTCTCAGCCCCACCTGCCTCACAGGGTGCCTGTTGTGGGAAGGGGAAGGGAAAGGAGTTTGTAAGCCGCTCTGAGACACCTTTGGGTAGTGAAGGGTGGGGTATAAATCCAATCTCTTCTTCTTCTTCTTCTCTAAATGCCAGGAGACTGGCCTAATGCTCTAAAGCAGTGGCTGGTGTAGGACAGCAGCCAAGAGGCTCACCTCTACCTCAGCAAGGTTCATAACTGGCCTCGCTAGTTGAGAAGAAGAAGAGAAGAGATTGGATTTATACCCTGCCCTTCACTACCCAAGGGAGTCTCAGAGCGGCTTACAAACTCCTCTCCCCTCCCCACAACAGACACCCTGTAAGTGGTAGGTGGGGCTGAGAGAGCTCTTGACAGAAACTGCTCTTTTTCAAGAACAGCTGTGCCAGAGCTACGGCTTGCCCAAGGTCATCCAGCCAGGTGCAAGTGGAGGAGGAGTGGGGAATCAAACCCGGTTCTCCCAGATTAGAGTCCACGCACTTAACCACTACACCAAAATGGCGGCGGGGTGATAATACCGCCATCTCACAGGGCTGCCGAAAACACTCAACCTTCTTCTTGCCACGTTGTGATTCCCATATCCACTCACAAAGTTCAGCAGCCTCAACCAGGAAGGTCCACAATGGCCAACCCCCAACCGGTGGCCTCTCCCTCTTTTGAGCCTCCTGACGCCCAAAAGTCTCACAGAGGGGGAAACCACCATCGGCAGTGTACTTTCATTTCCATGGCATGGCGCCACGGGCTTTTCTCAAGGCCTGTCCGTGCGAGTTCAATGCGCTTTCGGGCCTGAGGAAACACCACGGCAGTAATAATAAGGAACGAAAAATAACCTCTGGCAATTAACGGCTCCATTAATGGCACCTCAGAAGTTATTCAGTCCAAAGGAAGAAAAGACATGCGTGTGGGCACACAAATACTCCCCCTCCTTGGCATTATTGCCCAGACTTTGTCTGGAAAGCTACGGACAGGCCTGCTTTGGTCTCCCTTCCTGGGAGAGAGGGGGGGAAATAGCTCAAGCGTGCTGTGTTTGGAACAGGGCCCTCTCTTACTGAGGACTGTGTCCCGAAGACAGGAATATGGCTGCTTCTCCACCATCAGTCAGAAAGCGGGTGGTGAGGACTTTTCCGATCAAGGGGGGAGACCGTTCCGACCATCCTCAGGGAACTGCGACACTGAAAAGTTTGCTTTTACATTTCCGCACAAAATGTGGGACCTGATTTTGAACTCGTTTTCCAGAATCCTTGACTGGCATTCCAAACAGGTGTAACGAAAAAAGGCAAGTTTCTAGCCCATGTGGGTCTAAAATAATAATAATAATTGTATGGCAGGGGATCTAGTATAGCCAGGAGATCCGGAAATTGTCTGGCAGCCTGAAACTCTTGCTCTTTTTTGTGGCGAGCCAGGTTTGTTTTCTGGGCTGACAAAACGGTGACTGACCCAAGGACACCCAGCTGGCTTCGCACAGAGGAGTAGGGAAATCGAACCCAGTTCTCCGGATCACAGTCCGTCGCTCTTAACCACGACACCAAACTCGCATGGGTCTAGTCAGGGGTCATTTTGTAGAAAAAGAGGTGCAGGAGCTCATTACCATAACTCATTAGCATCCCTTATTTGTATATGCCACACCCCCTGACATCACTGCTCAGGCTCCACTGGACTGTTTTGGATTGCTAGCTATGGGGGGGGGACGTGCAGATCTGCCCCTCATAGAGGAGGGAGAGCTTGTACCTGAATAAGACTTGGTCTTAAAGGTGCCACTGGACTGTTTTGGACCATGGCTGCTTCTTGCTCTGACTGAGGGCTGCTGGGAGCAGGGGGTGGGGCTTGTTGCATGTGCCTGCCCCCCTGGGCTCTTTACTGCCGGAGCTCCGCTCCTGTGCGCTCCTGCAGGAAATGACCCCTGGGTCTAGTAGACCCAGAAGGCAGAATATTTGACCTGTTATGACTCCAGATATTTACTTAGATTCTAA